TACGCAGCCTGTTGCTCCAGGAGGACCCAGTTATCGTGGCAAGAGGCAATACAGCGCCAGTTCCTTCTTAAAACGAAAGGATGTAAACTGTACCAATCTACAAAAAGTCCACTGTGATATACAATAGACAGGTACACTTACATGTCGGGACAGATATGGAGTGTAAACAAGACTGCCCCCCCTACTGACCAACACACAATACTGGCAGTTCTAGGAAGACGAGAGGTAACATTCACAGTGATTCTAGGCTTGTAACAATAAAAGTAAAGGCACTGCAGCGGGGGCATCTTGTCTCCCAGTTGCTCAGATGTAGACATGGATTTATCAAAAAAAAAAAATGGCCGTTAAGAATCTTATTGCTGGCGTTAGACAACAGAATAAAATGTAAACCCCACACAGCTCAATGCTACTATATGTAGTAATCCAACCATAGGAAAATATAAATATTTATGAAAAATATAAACTGTGTAGTAAGAGATGCATCTTATAAAGTAGCTACAGAGCAGGGAGTGCATAGTTCACAATGAATACATTATTAGGGTGGCAACAAAGTCTGTAACAGTCTATAGCAGCATTTCCCAACCTTTTTACCATGAAGGAACCCTTGAAACAATTTTTAGGTCTTGGGAAACCCCTGCTAGAACAAATTCCTACTGGGAAGAAAGCCTCTTTACATTGTCCCCTTACATTGGTGGTCAGTGAGAAGAATCCCCTTACATGGGGGTCAGTGAGAATTCCCTTACATGGGGGTCAGTGGGAAGAATGTCCCTTACATTGGGGGGCAGTGGGAAGGATGTCCCTTACATTGGGGGGCAGTGGGAAGGATGTCCCTTACATTGGGGGGCAGTGGGAAGGATGTCCCTTACATTGGGGGGCAGTGGGAAGGATGTCCCTTACATTGGGGGGCAGTGGGAAGGATGTCCCTTACATTGGGGGGCAGTGGGAAGGATGTCCCTTACATTGGGGGGCAGTGGGAAGGATGTCCCTTACATTGGGGGGCAGTGGGAAGGATGTCCCTTACATTGGGGGGCAGTGGGAAGGATGTCCCTTACATTGGGGGGCAGTGGGAAGAATGCTCCTTACATTGGTGGTCAGTGAGAAGAATGACCCTTACATTGGGGGTCAGTGGGAAGGATGTCCCTTACATTGGTGGTCAGTGAGAAGAATGCTCCTTACATTGGTGGTCAGTGAGAAGAATGCTCCTTACATTGGTGGTCAGTGGGAAGAATGCCCCTTACATTGGTGGTCAGTGGGAAGAATGACCCTTACATTGGTGGTCAGTGGGAAGAATGCCCCTTACATTGGGGGTCAGTGGGAAGAATGCTCCTTACATTGGTGATCAGTGGGAAGAATGCTCCTTACATTGGTGATCAGTGAGAAGAATGTCCCTTACATTGATCAGTGGGAAGGATGCCCCTTACACTGGTGGTCAGTGGGAAGAATGCCCCTTAGATTGGCAGTCAATGAGAAGAATTTCCCAGTACACTGGTGGTCAGTGGGAAAAATGCCCCTTACATTACAGGGTTGCACTGATACCAGTTTATCATCAGCGAGTACAAGTACACAACAATACTAAATTATTGATATCTTTGGCTCAAATCGCACTCCAAAGAATTGCACGCGATTTCAACGGAAATGTGGTGTGATTCCTGTCCATGCTGTTTCCCTGCAGGTGCGGTCTGATTTGCAGCCATTCACTTTGTATGGCACAAATTGCGCCGCACCCACAGGGAAACCGCATGTGATTCGGACAGGAATCGCAAAACATTCCTGGTCAAATCACATGCGATTCTTTTCAGTGGGATCTGAGCCCATTCATTTTGTATGGGCTAAAATCACACAAGGGTACTGGTTTTAGGTAATGGAGCATTTGCACAAGTACTTGTGCAAATGCTCAGTATTGGCACTGATACCGGTATCGGTGCAACCCTAGCGGTCAGTGGGAAAAGCTCTGGTGGACAGTGGTAACGAAGCCTCCTTCCACTGGCGGACAGTGGTAACGAAGCCTCCTTCCACTGGCGGACAGTGGTAACGAAGCCTCCTTCCACTGGCGGACAGTGGTAACGAAGCCTCCTTCCACTGGCGGACAGTGGTAACGAAGCCTCCTTCCACTGGCGGACAGTGGTAACGAAGCCTCCTTCCACTGGCGGACAGTGGTAACGAAGCCTCCTTCCACTGGCGGACAGTGGTAACGAAGCCTCCTTCCACTGGCGGACAGTGGTAACGAAGCCTCCTTCCACTGGCGGACAGTGGTAACGAAGCCTCCTTCCACTGGCGGACAGTGGTAACGAAGCCTCCTTCCACTGGCGGACAGTGGTAACGAAGCCTCCTTCCACTGGCGGACAGTGGTAACGAAGCCTCCTTCCACTGGCGGACAGTGGTAACGAAGCCTCCTTCCACTGGCGGACAGTGGTAACGAAGCCTCCTTCCACTGGCGGACAGTGGTAACGAAGCCTCCTTCCACTGGCGGACAGTGGTAACGAAGCCTCCTTCCACTGGCGGACAGTGGTAACGAAGCCTCCTTCCACTGGCGGACAGTGGTAACGAAGCCTCCTTCCACTGGCGGACAGTGGTAACGAAGCCTCCTTCCACTGGCGGACAGTGGTAACGAAGCCTCCTTCCACTGGCGGACAGTGGTAACGAAGCCTCCTTCCACTGGCGGACAGTGGTAACGAAGCCTCTCTCTACAATGGTCATCAGCCTTAGATAACTAAAAAGAGCAATGGTGTCATGTCACCGACTGCCAAATGTTGGCACCATCAAATGGGAGGTCAAACAGCCACAACCTCTGGAAGAACCATGGTTGAGAAAGGCTGGTCTATGGGGATGGTCTGATCTTTGTGGGACTTTGCTCACATGAAGAGGTTCAGTAAACAGAAGTCACCTGTCACATATTAATTTTATAAAAGCCATTTGAGTTTCAGGTCCATAACTGAAAGAAGGAGATCATGACAAGCTGGTTTCTAGCTCAGGTCAGGCTCCTTCCAAACACTAATGTAAATGCTCAGCTCCCACAACCAGTCCTAGTTCCAGGTCAGACATCTTACTGTGCAAGATGTTAAAGAGAGCATTCTGCCCTGGAATTAGTACTCCCATCCAGGAGTTGGGTGACAACCTCCTGCACCAGAATACATCCTGGTCTCTGACCAAAGTAAACAAGGAGTGTTGAGATTTGCCATGTCACAAGACTCTAGCTTATAAAAATATCAGTAGTTAATTGCTAGTGAAAAAGTAGAATAGACCCCTTAAATCTTGTTCACACCAGACGACATTTTGCCTTTGTGTGCTTAACCCCTTGGCGCCGGTGCCTCCCGGCCCTTTAAGGGTTTCAGAAGCCGAGAGGCAGGGCGGGGTTTAGGGTCATGTGACATCACCACAGCGGTCACATGATCGGGAAAGGTCCCGATCAAAAGAGGAGATCGGGACCTTTCCGTGAGTAACGGACATGTGTGCTGGGAGCGTGCAGGGCGCGCGCTCTCAGCACATATGCTTTTTTTTTTAATAGAACGCAAATGTGCAGCCACTCGGCATCTAGGCCCAGACGCCAGGAGGCCACACATATGCGTTCAGCCAGCGCCAAGAGGTTAAGGGTCCTGTCACACGGGCGTTCCTCTTTTTCATCAGTTCAGTCACGTTTTGGGTTTTTTTTCAAAATCGTAGCTAAACTGATTAAGACTTCACTTTTTACCTCCCTTTTCATATCCATTTACATCCAATTTTCATCCAGACTTTTTTTTTTTTTTTTTTTTCAACGGAAAAAAAATAGGATTTTCTTCCGTTCAAAAATTCTGATATTAAAGCGGAGTTCCAGCTGCAAAAAAAATAAAATATAAAAAAGTCAGCAGCTACAAAAACTGTAGCTGCTGACTTCTAAAATACAGCCATTTACCTGTCCCTCGGTCCAACGGTGTCCTCACCACAGTTAGTTTCACCGGCCGTCTTCTCTCTTTGGTGCCGGCATTTCTACCCCCGGTTCACACCTATGCGGCCGTGCGGGGTGCGCTTTGCACGGGCACGAGAGCCCATTCATTTCATTTCAGTGTGAGCGGTGTGCCATTAGAAGTAATGGCACCTGCCCGCGGGTCCACAATTCTCTCTGGAGGTGGTGCGGCTGCGGATTTTCATGCGGATCCGCAGCCACAGATGTGAACCTAGGGTAAGTGTGGGCTCCCGGCTGTGACAGCTTGCAGCTGCACATCCAGGTGCCCACTGCGCATGCGCTCGAAGCCCCGTAGTCTTCAGGGACCCGTTACGTGTCGCAGAAGACTACAGGGAGGGAGAGAGGATAACTTCCGCTTCCGATCACAGCGGAACTGGGAGCGGGTACCTGTCAAATTCGGGTACCCACTCCCCAAAGGTGCCAATCCTTAATAGGGAGCGGGGTGAGGGTGGGGGGACAAAGCATTAAAGCGGAACTTCCCCTTTTGGGTGGAACTCCGCTTTAACAGATGCGGACATTAACGGATGTAAACAGATGATCATCCGTTTACATCCGCTAGTCCACAGAAATACATGGGTGTCCGTTTTTTAATCCGTAAACGGACAGATGAAAACTGGACATACGGAACGCCTGGGTGAAAGGACCCTAATGGAGTAGGAAAATGCTGCAAGACACGAGAAGGTCTCGTTTTTCTATAGAGCCTGTTCACACCATTGCATGTGTGGGGTAAAATAAATGGCACATGCTGCAGTTAAGGTTTGCTGACTTATGTTTTCCCATTCATGTCACCTGAACAGGGTCCTTCACATCACAGATTTAATGCTACAAAGTCGCAGCGGCTAAAAATGCGTGCATCTGGTGTGAACAGGCCCTTACTGGAGTGAACTAATGTCGGGGTGTACGGAAACTGGAGACAAGGACAATGGAGGGAACAGAAGGAGTGGCCGTAGTGTGGATGAGTGTAATAATCTCAGACGGCCCCTGTGATAGGACAGAGGTTAGTGGTGGCAGATGAAGGATTGGTTGCGGGTTTATCTCAGTCCTCAGGCTTCTCCAGAAATCAGCTCATGTCATGCTCACCCACACTCTGCTTTAGATACTCTTCATACAGTTGTTTCTGTAAAGGGGAAGGAATAAAAAAAAAGGTGTGAGAGGGGAACCCCAAACATTGCAATACACGGCTGCAGACTACTGCTGCAACTCTCCGCAAATGGAACAACCATTCAACTAACATTTTTTATTCTTTTCATTTAATCAAAAGATTACAGCAAGAATAAAATTTTGAGTTACCGATAGAGTAGGGAAGGATTAAAAAGATTAGGTTTTTTTTTTTGCTTGTGTCTCACTTGGGAGACTTTCCTTCGCTTCCTGTGTTAACCTCCCTAGCGGTCTGATTATGTCCATATTTCTGTGCTCAAAGCGGTACTTTTTTTGCATGGAAATATGTATTTTTTTTTATTGTAGGCCTGTAATTCTTAGGAATAACTCACTGAAATCTGTCCGAACAAGAGTCTAGTAAACATCCCGGGTAGGATAAAATTTGAAACACGAAATCATAAATTATAATAAATATTCATAAAAAAAATAATAAATTTAATTCAATAATGTAATCAATCCAAAAACACTGAAATGTGAAATATAGCGCCAAGTTCGCACATCGCTGAGCTCAGTCGCAGAATCGTTTTCAGTGTCTGATGATGAATTTCCCCCACGAATCATTATCACTCAATTCTGCAAGTGGTTCTGATTTACTATCGCTGTTCTCTAGCCGGTCTAAAACCGATTTTGACGTAAAGGGACGCTTTTTGGACGCCATGGACGTTTCTCAGTTTCCAGGCAGAAAGAACAGTAAAAATGCAGGCAGGGCGCCGGACAAAGCAGTAGGGACAAAATGTATGTGAAATGGTTTGATAGTCATGGAATACTATCAGATTTTAGTCTATTATGTGTATGTAAAATTTTGACATTTTTGAATTTTCCCGCCGGTTCCGTCCCCCGTACGTCCCGACGCTCGCAGGGAACGGAACCCGGAAGACGGATGTCGGCATCGGCCGGAGGCCATGGCCGGGGACGCAGTGGGAGGACAACGCAGGACAAGGTAAGTGATCCAGGGATCCAAGAGCAACGCTGCAGAGTATTCCCCAGTGTAGCTCGGGGTTACCACTTCTGGTACTGAAACTTTACCCCGAGCTACACTCAGGAATACCGCCAGGGAGGTTAAAGTAGAACTCTAGGCAATTTTTTTTTTTTTTATTTTGGATGGCGTAAGGGAGGGTTATAATGCCTGCCAGAATACTTTTCACCATCTGTGTCCTATTGGAGAGATCCCCCTTCACTTCCTGTCCCATAGCCAGCCAGGCCAGACAGGAAGTGAGAGGAAATCCCTGCAAATTAAGGGAATTTTTTGGGGTCCCCCAGGTAACCAGAACTATTGGAAGATTTCCCTTCTATTACTTTTATGGGGACAACCAAAAATTTGGGATTTTACTTTTACTTTCAATGAGAACGGTAAACAGGACCAATAGAGAGGATGAATCTCCCTAACGGGGACACAGACAGCAATAAAAACCTGACCGGGGTTCTAATCTCCACTCTATCCAAAACTAAAAAAAAATTGTTTTGCTTTTAGTTGTACTTTAAGATACAACAGGAACGGGGGGTAAATCTCTCCAAAGTACACAGGTGTCCCTGTTGGAAGATTTCCTCTCTATTCCTGTTCTGGTGACAACTAAAAATTTTGGATTCTCTCTCACTTTTAGTCGGTGAAAAATTGTCATCCGGATAAAAAAGGGGGGTGAATATCCCCAGTGGGGACACAGACAACAATAAAAACCTTAGCGGGTCAGCTCTCCCTTACTTTGTCGAAAACAAAAATAAAAATTGCTTTAGATAAACTTCAATGAGACCGATTCAAGTAATAATTATTAAAAACATTTTTCCCAATGCATAAAATCAATATTTTATTTGAATAAAAATTTTGAACTCCTGTTTGGAAATGGCATTACAATGGTTGCAAAGGCTGAAGGTTTTTTACCTTCATACATTGTATGCATGAAGGTAAAAAAATCTTCAGTGTGTAGCAGCCCTCTCCCCCCTCCCACCAATCCTCACCTGAGCCGATCTCAGTCCAGCGATGTGCATGGGAGTCCAAGCCCTTTTCCTCCTCATTGGCTGAGATACAGCAGCAGGAACCCGGCTCCAGCTGCTGTCAATCACAGCCTGTGAGGAGGGAGAGAGGGGGTGGGGCCGAGTCCCACTCCACTGTGTCATATGGACACAGAGCGGAGCTCAGGAGCAAGCACGCACCAGTGCCCCAATGGCAAGCAGCTTGCTATGGGGGCACTGCTCAGGGTAGGAGGAGCCAGAAGCACTGGTGGAAGACCTGAGAAGAGGAGGATCAGGGCTGCTCTGTGCAAAGCAGTAGGACATGTTTGTTATTTAAACACAAGCCTTTTTCCCCCATCTCATGACAGGCACATTTTGAGACAAAACTGCAGGATCTGTTTGGGCATTAGAAAAGCAAAATTTGGAAGATGCCTCACCTTTTTCTCAACAACCACTTCACCAATATACGCATCGCGGTCTTGTAGGAATCGCCGCTGTTTCTTGCTTAGAGTCGGCCGTGTCCTAGGAAGGTTTAAAAGAAAAAAAAAAAATTGGATTATGAAAAATGTTAATGTAGAGGGGACATTAGTGTGCAAGGCTCTCCAAGTCTGGCCCTGGCCTGTAAACAAAACTGTTCTCTCCCGTGTCAGCTACTGCACACTGCTTTGCATGGCTCTGCATAACACAGCCATGCAATGCAGTGTGCTTACAGTGAAGCACAAACATAGCCCCGTATGCAAAACTGCACACAGTTAACCCTTTGATCGCCCCCACGTTAACTCCTTCCTGCCCAGTTCCATTAGTACAGTGTCAGTGTTTTTTTAATTAGCAATGATCACTGTATTGGTGTCACTGGGGATGTCTGTGACACCATGTCAGAATGCCCCCCGCAGTCCCTCTATAATTCGCGGATTGCCATTTCTAGTAAAAAATAAAATTATAAAAAAAAATAAACTCCCAGTATATATACAGCCACTTGTAAATGCCATAAATTTCACGGAAATCAATTAATTTAGACGTATTGGGATTTTTTTTTTTTTTAGCAAAGACACGGAGCAGAATACATTTTGCCCTTAATATATGACGAAATTTGATTTAAATTTTTTTTTACTGGACAGGGTTAATAGCAAAAAAGTCAAAAATATTGTTTTTTTCTCCCAATTGTCTTTTTTTTTTTTATTATAGCGCAAAAAATAAAAACGCACAGGCAATCAAATACCTACCAAAAGAAAGCTCTATTCGAGGGGAAAAAAAAAAAAAAAAAGACGTAAATTTCATTTGGGTGCAGCGTTGCATAACTGCGCAATTGTCAGTTGAAGTAAAGCAGCGCCGTAAAAACCGGTCTGGTCAGGAAGGGGGGGAATCCTCTGGAGGGCAAGTGGTTAATGAACCAATGACATAGATAGATAGATAGATAGATAGATAGATAGATAGATAGATAGATAGATAGATAGATATAGGATTCACATCTGTTCCAGGCCAGTGACTAATTAGTTAAGCAAATATGAGAATAAAGCTGGACATACATCGGTCAATTTTTTTTTTTTCCAATCAGAAGTGGGCTAATTGAAGAAAAAAAAAAAAAAAAAAACTGAATTGATTCCCACATCCATAAAAGCGAGGTAGAGGAAGCAGGGACTGGCCGAATTTTGATCCATCTATGGCCATTCCGGTTCGTGACAAGTCGATCTAATTACAAAATTCTCACGTGTGGGCTTGTTGGAAAACTTTTGCTCAATCAATGTATTTGAGAAGGAGTCCCCGCTGTCAGAATACAACGCAGTGGGGACTCCTCCTCAAATACACTGTTTGAGCAAAAGTTTTCCAACAAGCCCACACGTGAGAATTTTGTCATTAGTTCAACTTCTCACGAACCGGAATGGCCATAGAATTCGTCCAGTCCCTGCTGAGCCAGACGATTTCAATCCATCGATGGGCAGTTTAGGAGCCCCAGAGCAGACACCTTAGAAAACAAGAATGGCAGCTCAGATCAGCTTACCTGAAGCACCTCTGGGCCAACAGCAGGAACAGGACGGCCAGCAGTGCGAGAGTCAGGAAAGTATAAAGCATGTAGTCTTCCGGCACCAAGGACCAGATGGTTTCGAAGGGAGACTGCAAATAGGAGGAAGAACGAGACCCATGAAACATACACAGGAAATAATGTGCACTCGAAGATCTGCAGAGCTGTAGGAGATCAGTAGCACTTGGAGAAGTGTCCCCCCTTAGGAAGCCTTTGTTGCAAAACGCGTAGGGCGAGGTTAATGCATGGTGACGTCGACATGCGCAGAGGAGGTGGGTTCATGCAGATTGGAACTAGTGGTGTGCTTGTCTTGTACAATATTGAGTGTTTATACTTGGTACTGGATGTAGCAAGAGATTTGTGAGCGATTTTACATCATGGTTTCACTTACTTTGTAATAAATGGTGTCACACTATGATCCCTCCATCTCTGCTTTGGATATTTATTGAAGGGACATAGGCCAAAGCCTAAGGAGCAAGGAGACCAGTACTGGATTTAATAACAGTGACCAATACTGCACATAACTGGTCACCTCCGTGTAGTGAGTGCAGGGGCGGACTGACAACTCCTGGGGCCCCCAGGCAATAGGGGATCATGGGGCCCCTGTGCACTTGCCCAAACTCAAAAAAAGACTATGAAAAAGGTACCAGGGGCATCTCATGGGGCCCTCTACTGACCCTGGGCCCTTGGGCAGTGCCCGAGTTTCCAAATGGTCAGTCTGCCCCTGGATGAGTGTTGGGGTTATATCTGGGGTAGTACATTTGTGTCTGTCTGAATACCTGCATATGGTGCACACTGATTCACGCTGCGGAGGTCCTGTGCTTGGACACTATCTTTATTGTTATACTCCTAGGAATGAGCCATTGGGAGGCTCGACTGCACTGTGAAAGGATTTGCACAACATAAGGACTGTATTTGCATAAGACATACACTATATTGCCAAAAGGATTGGGCCGGCCCTCCAAATCATGTGATTCAGGTGTTCCAATCACCTCCATATCATGTGATTCAGGTGTTCCAATCCCCTCCATGGATACAGGTGTATACAATCAAGCCCCCAGGCATGCAGACTGCTTCTACAAACATTGGTGAAAAATGGGTCGCTCTCAGGAGCTCAGTGACTCCAAGCGTGGTCCCGTGATAGGTGGCCACCTGTGCAATAAGTCCATCCGTGACATTTCCTGGCTACTAAATATTCCACGCTCAACTGTTAGTGGGATTATAACAAAGTGGAAGCAACTGGGAACAACAGCCACTCAGCCACCAAGTGGTAGGCCACGTCACATGACAGGGCGGGGTCAGCGCATGCTGAAGCGCACAATGCGCAGAAGTCACCAACTGTCTGCAGAGTCAATAGCTAAAGACCTCCAAACTTGGTGTGGCCTTCAGATGAGCCCAACAACAGTGCGTAGAGAGCTTCATGGAATGGGTTTCCATGGCCGAGCAGCTGCATCCAAGCCTTACATCACCAAGTGCAATGCAAAGGGTCGGATGCCGTGGTGTAAAGCACGCTGCCACTGGACTCTAGAGCAGTGGAGATGTGTTCTCTGGAGTGACCAATCACACTTCGCCAAACCAAGACACGTCCATCGGATTGCCAGACAAGAGGTTGCCAGAATGGTACTGACCTGACTGCATTGTGCCAAGTGTAAAATTTGGTGGAGGGGGGATTATGGTGTGGGGTTGTTTTTCAGGGGTTGGACTTGGCCCCCTAGTTCCAGTGAAGGGAACTCTTAAGGTGACATTTTGGACAATTTCATGCCCCCAACTTTGTGGGAAGAGTTTGGGGATGGCCCCTTCCTGTTCCAACATGACTGCGCACCAGTGCACAAAGCAAGGTCCATAAAGACATGGAGGAGCCAGTTTGGGGTGGAGGAACTTGACTGGCCTGCACAGAGTCCTGACCTCAACCCCATAGAACACCTTTGGGATGAATTAGAGCGGAGACTGCGAGCCAGGCCTCCTCCCCCGACATCAGTGCCTGACCTGACAAATGGTCTTCTGGAAGAATGGTCCAACCTTCCCATAGACACCCTCCTAAACCTTGTGGACGGCCTTCCCAGAAGAGTTGAAGCTGTTATAGCTGTAAAGGGCGGGGCCAACTCAATATTGAACCCTACGGACTAAGACTGGGAGGCCATTAAAGGTCATGTGTGGAAGGGCCGGCGGCTCAATACTTTTGGCAATATAGTGTATATTTTTACAGATTACTGTATGCCGGATTTATTTATTGTGGTTTTATACTGGCTTACATGACTGTTGTCTCTGTGCTGAAAGATTATTTCCAATCTTACTATACATGAAAAGGCGTGCATAGCCAAAAGTCATTTTGGTAAACCCAATTTATTCTGGTGACTGTAGAATTGTACAGCTGCAAAGCCCTAATATGTAATATATTCAACAGAACACCTAAATGGTCATACAAAGGGTCATGGTCATTGTAACGGAACCGACCCAGACTGCGCTTGAGTCCTTCCGCTGGAATACCACTTCCCCGTCCGAACACCGACCACAGACACCACAGCCGACCATACAAGACTAGACACCAGTCTTGAAGTAAACCAGGATGTAGACGACTTTATTAGAACACAGGTACAAGATATATACACTCAGGGGACAACCCCCCCCCCTGCATAATGACACAGGGTGGGGTAATATACATTTAGTAACAAGAGACACACAGGTATTCCAACTTCACACCAGCAGACAGTCCCATCAGGAGGGACGGCTGCTGGAGACACCCCCCCCCCCCCCCACTAAGCTAATACACAAACACATACATCCCATAATAGTTTGCTCCCAAACCAGACAAACAATAGAACAATGGGAAACAGCCACATAACATCAAACAAGCAACAACCCCCACGCCACCTATCTCCTAGACATGTCTTCACAGTCTGAGACAAAGCCCCCCCAATATTAGGACAGATCACTCTGTACTTCTAACAGGCACAGGGTGATTTACACATAAGAGGGATATGGGGAGCTGAAACAGGGGTCTCCCCACCTCTCCAAAGTGAGCTGGGTTCCATGGGGCCCCCACCCAAAGTGACTCCCGTCACAGTCGTAATATCTAGGTCTTCAATAAACGCCCCCCAAGAGAGCCCGGCCACATTCCCCTCCTTACCAGGTATACTGCCAGGGTTTCAGCTCCTGAGGTGCCCAACAACCCGACCCAGACAGGCTTTGGGATGGATCCAAACAGGGCAGAAGCAAAGAGGAAAAGTGGGAGAATAAAACCAGAGAGACCGAAGAGACATCCCCGAACCCGGGAGCGCCGGTTCCTCCAGACCGTCTGGCTGTAAATGAGAAGCACGATCGTAACCATCACAAGAAACTCACAACGGACAAACTTGGAGTGACAATGGCTCCTCGCTGTACACATTGCTCTGCAAAGGATTCTGGGACATGGCTCTCCGATCCAATATTTTTCTTGTCTTCCCCCCCAGCCCGGACACCACCCCCCATCGACTTATCCATCACATCCAACAACGCCACCATCAAACCCGCCCCGCAGGCCAGAGTACTTGGTGTCATTCTGGACTCCAACCTCTCCTTCCAGCCCCAAGTCCAATCTTTAACAAACTCGTGCAGACTCCACCTCCGCAACATGCAGACTCCACCTCCGCAACATCGCCAAAATCCGCACGTTCCTAACCCCAGAAACCACTAAACAGCTCATCCACTCCCTCATCATATCACGACTCGACTACTGCAACTCCCTCCTCACTGGCCTGCCTCGCCGCTGGCTATCCCCGCTTCAGTCCATCCTGAATACGGCTGCCAGACTCATTCACCTTTCCAACCGCTCCGTCTCCGCCACCCCCCCCCCCTCTGCCAATCCCTCCACTGGCCTCCATTCAGTGTCCTCCACCCCCCTCTGCCAATCCCTCCACCGACCTCCAATCAGTGTCCTCCACCCCCCTCTGCCAATCCCTTCACTGGCTTCCGATTGCGCAACGGATCAAATTCAAAATCCTAACACTGACGTACAAAGCCGTCCACCATACTGCCCCGAACTACATCACCGACCTAATATCCAAGTACCACCCAACACGCACACTCCGCTCCTCACAAGACCTCCTTCTCTCTAGTTCCCTGGTCTCCTCCTCCCATGCCCGTCTCCAGGACTTCTCCAGGGTGTCACCCATCCTCTGGAACTCCCTGCCCCAACCCATCAGATTATCACCTACTCTCCTCTCCTTTAGGCGCACCCTGAAAACCCACCTCTTCAGGGAAGCCTACCCCACCCCCTGCTAACTTGCCAACCTCCTCCACTCCTCCTACCACTCCATCCCCCACAGCTATCTCCTCCTGTGCCACCATCCCCTCCCTCCTAGATTGTAAGCTCCAAAAAGCAGGGCGCTTCGATCCCCTCATGTTTTGCATTGTATTGGTATTGTTCTGTCACATGTTCTGCCCCCCTTTGTAATGTACAGCGCTGAGCGAACTATTGACGCTTTATAAATACTGTATAATAATAATAATATCTAATACAAGGTTATCCTTCACCATATACTCACTCATCTTCCTGCAGGGCGTTCTCAATGCTCTCCGTCATCTTCTGGCAGTCCCTGCCGAGTGTGTTCAGTGTAGTCTGGACTGTCTGGGTGATGGTCTTCTCTATGGTTTTACACACATCTTCAATCTGATTTACACAGCGGCTTGACTGGAGAGACAGGAATGCTTTATTAACGCGGGGACCTCGGGGACCACATCATCAGTATTCCACAGTGACCATGGGGGGCTCTAGCAATGTATTCCAGCAGCGAACCCTCAGGATCTAGCTGTGAGGACGCTGCTGGGGGAAGCCAAAGAATCATCTCTCTCTGCTTCCTGTATCAAAAACACAAAACACAAACATCCATTATAAATACTCAAAAAATGTTGCGCTCCATATAAATATTAAATCATAATTTACATTCTCGTGATAAAAAAAACCTCTTACTTAAAATATTCAGACAATATTACAAATTTACAGATTTACGAATGATTAATATTGTCACTAAAATATATATTTTTAGATATTTAATTTCTTGTTCATTTTGAGTTAATCACTATTAAGTATAATCACATGGCACATATCAATTATTTCTGAACATTTTAAGTAATAAGAGGTTTTTTAATCACGAGAATATAATTTATGATTTAACATTTATTTGGAGCGCGACATTTGAGTATTTATAGTATAAAACACACATAATGATGAGGATGTGAATAGTGTCAGCGAACCACAATTAATGATTTGAACCATAGTGGCTCACAAGTATAAATTCGCACATAAACATCCAATTCTTTTGAATCCGATAGTGCTGCCATTTTTTTTTATATCGGTATCTCTGCATTTGAGAGGCAGCAAGAAGTGTGTTCCAGCATCCCAAGCAGGTGTGTTCCAGGATCTGCAGATTATAGACAGAATGGAGTTGTGTGGACGGATGCAATATAGGAACAACTAGATAAAAACACTTAAAATCTCGGATCCCTGCTCATGGTCTTGTTATCTTTTTCCTTTTGTACTCTTCTTTCCTTTTCTATTTCTGTTTGTTTTTGGTGTGGCGGTGGATAGCTGCCTTTAGTTTGAGTTACTGTCGGTGTTATACTGATGTTTTTGTAATTTATGTGCCATTGATAGTCCCTGCGTGGGCGCACCTTTTGCTCTGTTGGTGTTAGAGCACTGTTTTTTTTTATTTTCTTTTTTATGTGCAATTGATAGCCCCTGCGTGGGCGTGTTTTGTTTCTCCTGTCTTAAACTTTTTATAAATTAACCCCTTTACGAGTTTCAGAAGCCGGGACGGGGTTTAGGGTCATGTGACCGCCGTGACGCATTGTCATGATGGTCACATGAACGGGAAAGGTCCCAATCGAAAGAGGAGAGATCGGGACCTTTCCGTGAGTACCGGACATGTGTGCTGGGAGCACGCAGGGCGCGAGCTCTCGACACGTCCTTTTTTAATAGAACGCAAATGTGCGGCCGCTCGGCGTCTAGGCCCAGATGCCAGGAGGCCGCACATTTGCATTTGGCCTGCGTGAAGAGGTTAATATAAACACTGAAATACAAATAAATGGGGGTAAAAAAAAACACACTGTTCTGGACTGAGTTCTGGACAAGTACACACTATAGAGGGATAGGCTTTGTTCATATTTCATGTCTGAGGTTTACAACCACTTTAAAGTAGAAATTCACTCTTTCAATCAACACTGACTAATTTTGAATCCTTATGCTGCTAGCAATAGTAAATAGATAGGAATACATTTTTAGAACTCCTTTTTTTAAATCTTTTTCACATTTTTTTTAGTTACTTCCTAGTTTCCAGGCCTTGGCAAATGAGGAGTCTTCAGGGGTGGTGAGAAGGGTGGGGTTTCTCAGCCAAGCACATCCTCCTGCCTTGATGCCTGAGACAAAGGCAAATGGATTCCAGGAAGTAAATGCTACATGAATTATCTGCCCTTACTCAAGATGGCCACGGCCAGGGGGTGTTTTTCAAAGTGATTTCTCAGCAAAATAAAGCATGGAGACATGGGATGATGGCAGAGTTTGCTTTGATTATCAAAACCTAATTCAGTAGCGTTTTTGCTTTGTGGTGCTCAGATGCCGTGTAGTTCCTAAATGTAGCAGAGAAAAGTCAGGTTTACTGCCCAGCCAGACAGGCCTATGCTCTATGGATGGAAGGCAATACTCCATGCGTCATTGGTAAGCTGTCCTCCTGACAATGAAAATGAATCTACTGTCACCTGCAGGGAAAATACATTTCCAGAGTTCTTTGATTTGCTTGCTTGTGGGGAAAAAAAAAAAATCAAAAAGTACACATTATAACAGCAGAATTAGGATCAGTGCTAATGCTGGCCGGCACTTGGGTGACTGACACACCGTCATGCAGCGGCTCCTCACCTTGTTGGGGTTGGGGATGTAAATCGTTGGCATGTCGAAGCCGCATTTGTTCAGCCCGGGTCTCTTGCACAACTCCTGTACAATCTGCATCAACACCCTCTGGAAGACAAAGTAACAAAAACAAAATGCATCTGTGGTCTAGAGGACCAAGTTAAAAGGGAAAGAAACCTAAAAACTCCCCAGAAAACAAAAACGGAAACAAAAGCACCTCGCGGGAAGTATACTTGCCTGTCCCACTGCCCAGCCAATACTTACACTCCTGCAAAGAAGAATAGTAAGCACCTCTTCTGGGTCTGTGGAATTCTGCCCCCTACAAATATTACCCACCCACTCCGCAACCACTGATACCAAAAAAAAAAAAAAAAAAAGTAATGCAACACTTTCATAGCAGTTTTTACTCCTGAGTCTGCCTGCCGCCGTGAGACCTTTGCCAGCGTATCTTCTGGGAGTAGAGATTGGCGATCCAGCACTGCTGTCTGAGCCCACTGCAGATCTGTCTGAGCCCACTGCAGATCAGTCTGAGCCCACTGCAGATCAGTCTGAGCCCACTGCAGATCAGTCTGGTTGCCGCCCCTCACTGTGATGTCATCACACTAGCGCAAACTTCTAGAATGGAGCTAGGAGAGGACACCGCCAATGGGAAGTGTCTATGTCATTCGAGCAGCCAGGTGGGCACCTTAAGGTAGATTTAGGTATTTGGGGGCATCAAAGTGGTTGTAAAGAAGGTTCTTTTTTTTTTTTTTTTTTTTTTTTACAATAACATGCCAATACTTTCCTGCTCTGATCCTCCTCCAGGGAAAGGTGGAGAGGTCTGGATTCAAACTGCCTAGCCATCATCGACAACCTCTATACAGCATCCAGGAATCTACATTAGAATGCATTGCCAGAGGTCTCATAACATTCTACAAATTTCAACCTTCACATATGACATCCTCTTTTTCTCATGCACGAAAAAAAAAAAAAAAAAAAAGTCTACACACATGCTGCCCATAAAAAACAAAAAAAAAAAACCACATCTTTCCTTTAACCACATGCCACCCAGCCACTGTAGAAATACGGCGGCAGGGCGGCACGGCTGGGCAAAACCATGTTTTAAAACATGTGTTTGCAAAACAGGTAGGGGGCATGCACGAGGCGCGCCACCGCCCTACCTGTCCCGCCGATCACGGCCGCGGATGTCAGTCCCCGGATCACAGCTGGTTGTTACCGGCTATGTCCCGCCGATTAGCGGCAATCACTGACAGAGAGCAGGGCTGTGGTAGCTCTGCTTTCTGTCAGTTCCCTGTCAGCTCCTGACATGCTGAACCGTGGAGTGCAGTACACACCCCCCCCCGCCCCCTAGTAAAACACTCCCCTCACAGTTAACCCTTTCAATAAATAAAAAAGTTAACCCCTTGCTCCCCAGTGCCATTAGTAGTGTCAGTGTTTTTTTTGCACTGATCACTGTAATGGTGTCACTGGGAAAGTCAGTGACCCCAAGTCAGTTCCCCCCGTGTCAGAATGTCTGCCGTAGTCCCGCCATAAGTCGCTGATCGCCGCCATTATTAGTATAAAAACCTGGATTAGGCCATAAACCTGGAAGCCGATTGGTTACTATGCAGAGCTGCACCAGATTCTGTACCATGCAGTTTTAGTAAATAACCCCCACAGTGTGCATATGCCCAAATTTGAACATTACAATAACAGTTTGCAGAACCGGTTTTTGATACCTGGCGGTCGCTCTCTCCTCCGGCGTCATCCGCTTTGCTCAGGTAGAAGCGTAGCTTATCGCCGTGTTTTTCGTTGATCTTCTCCACAATGTCCAGGGTGCGTTTACACAGCGCCTGACCCATAGGGTCAAAGAAAACCAGCACCAGGTCACACAGCTCTCCTGAGGGACAGACACAAACATCAGTTCTTTTTCGTTTCCATAGATGAAAGTTTTAATGTAAAATGTTATATTTTCCTCCCTTATGTGTTCTACAACTTGTGGGTGGTTCTAGTCCAGCTACACACCTAGCTGCACATCTATTTTGTCTTCTCAGAGTTTACATTGTATTCCACTGGACCGGAGACTCCAAGGCTGTCTGCCATAGAGCTGCACTGACTGGCCCCGACTTCCATCCTGCAAAAGTAAGGAGCTTGTTGGGGCCACCTACATATTTTTTAAGGTGGTCATAGATAGATCAAAATTTGACTGGTTCAGCAGGGACTAGCCGAATTTTGATCCATGTATGGCCACTGCAGGTAAACAGAAGTTGATCTCCTTCTGTTGATCAACTTCTGTTCAAATACACTGCTAGATAAAAGCCACTTGATCTTTGTTTTATGACAGTCTCAGCTCAGCAGGGATGTTTAAATTAGTCTACTTCCTGGTTTACTTTAAGACTGGTGTCGTCTAGTCTTGTATGGTCTGCTGTGGTGTCTGTGGTCGGTGTTCGGACGGGGAAGCAGTATTCTAACGGAAGTACCCAAGTGCAGTCTTGGGTTGGTTCCGTCACATGGTGGATGGGGGAATCAGTTCGGTTTTTTTTTTTTCCATTCAGCCTGCTGGATTGAAAAAGGAAAAAAAAACAAAAAAAAAAACGTGCATAGCAGGCTTAAAGTGGTTGTAAAGGCAATTTTTTCTTTTAAAATAACAAACATGTCTATACTTACCTGCTGTGTGGATGTTACATGTTCCCCCCCATTTTTAGAGCGGAGCATGCCCGACTTCTCCCTGTACTGTCAAATTTGAAAACAGCACCCACAAGGCCACGTCATTCATTCACAGTGTTCTGTGAATGAGTGCCTACAAGTCCTGACAGCCTCAGCAGCTGGTGGCTTGTAGTTTTCAATGAATGGCGCTGTGGTAGTTCATAGAAGCTTCCTGTCAGTATATCTGCTTGACCGTACAACCCATACATCCCCTACACCCCATACATCCCCTACATCCCATGGATCCCCTACATCCCATGGATCCCCTACATCCCATACAACCCCATATGGCAAGCAGATATTGCCAGGTCTGCAGGAGACCTGCATGACATCAGCGATCTACTGATTGCTGGTGCAATGCTTTACAGGTTCCTTTGGACAAAAATAATAAATGCACATTTTTTTTACTTGCAAAAAAAATAAAAAAATGTCCAGTAATTTTTGGCTGAAAGGTGAACTTATCCTTTAACATGCTCCAAGTGCTCCCAACTTCCTGCTTCCTCTGAAAGCCTCTGCTGCACTGAAATCCCAAGTATTGCTGTCAGCCCAGTCAGAGTTCTCCCATGCTAGACTGCAGAACACCCCTCTTCTGTAATAGGGAGGAGAGGGGAGGGAGAACTCAATCAGGGATAACATGAACATGTGGGAATTCAATGCAGCAGAAACAATGTTATTATCTGCTTACAGGAAGTTAGTCCGATTCTGGCAGGATAAACAGATCGTTTTCTGTACTTGTGGTATCAGTACAGACACACATATGGTGAAATGTGAATGTATTGCAGAAATGTACTAAATGTCTTTTTTACTTTGCCCAGCTGTACGCTCTAATGGCACCCTGTAATGGTCCTTCATTGTTCACTGACCTAACCACAGGAGGGCGTTATTCACATCAAAGGGGTACTTCATGTCTCCATCTACCAGCCCCGGAGTGTCCACAAAGGTGACGAGGCTGAACTTCTTCTGGCGTGACGTGGAGATCTCAGTGCAGAGGTATTCGGAAACGCCTGCCAGGAAGAGAAGCCAGAAAATGTAAGGAAGACGAAGAAGACAAACCTGCTCAGCAAGTCGCTGTCACAGAGCACATTTTATCTGGAATGACATGAAGAAGGTCAGCGGACTGATATGAAGGGACTTCTCACCTTGGAAGGACTGCAGAGGTTTGAAGTGAGGATACAGGTGAAGGGTGGCATCTCCCTGTGCAAATAAACAGAAGACAGTGAACAAGCCGGGCCAACAGAAAGATACACACCCTGAAACATACAGCCAACTCAAATGAAGCAGTGCACTGAATTAGGTGGAATTATTCTTCATGGGGCCACGTTAATGTCTTCTGAGGGCCACACCTATTACATTCTGGAGATCAGATTAAAGAACTTTGGCAATATTTGTTAAAGAAACCATCGCAAGATTTGTATCCTCAGGGAAGGGGCCCTTCAATTACTGTAATAATGAGCTGCAAAAGTAATGTCGTTTAGCTGCATCAACCAGGGAACAGCTGGGGACACATTCAGTTTCAATTCTTACACTACAAAGAGCTGACAGAGGAGGGAGCGAGCGGGCCGGGCCGGGAGGAGAGGGAGGGAGGGAGCAGCACGGCCCTGGCAAGAGAGAGAGGGGGCGAGTGAGAGAGGGCCCGGCAGAGGGAGGGGGAGGCGAGCCAGAGAGGGCCCGGCAGAGGGAGGGGGAGGCGAGCCAGAGAGGGCCCGGCAGAGGGAGGGGGAGGCGAGCCAGAGAGGGCCCGGCAGAGGGAGGGGGAGGCGAGCCAGAGAGGGCCCGGCAGAGGGAGGGGGAGGCGAGCCAGAGAGGGCCCGGCAGAGGGAGGGGGAGGCGAGCCAGAGAGGGCCCGGCAGAGGGAGGGGGAGGCGAGCCAGAGAGGGCCCGGCAGAGGGAGGGGGAGGCGAGCCAGAGAGGGCCCGGCAGAGGGAGGGGGAGGCGAGCCAGAGAGGGCCCGGCAGAGGGAGGGGGAGGCGAGCCAGAGAGGGCCCGGCAGAGGGAGGGGGAGGCGAGCCAGAGAGGGCCCGGCAGAGGGAGGGGGAGGCGAGCCAGAGAGGGCCCGGCAGAGGGAGGGGGAGGCAGAGAGAGCGAGAGAGACGAGAGAGGGCCCGGCAAAGGGAGGGGGAGGGAGAGAGCGAGAGAACGAGAGAGGGCCCGGCAGAGGAGGGGGAGGCGAGCCAGAGAGGGCCCCGGCAGAGGAGGGGGAGGCAAGCCAGAGAGGGCCCCGGCAGAGGAGGGGGAGGCGAGCCAGAGAGGGCCCCGGCAGAGGAGGGGGGGGGGGGCGAGCCAGAGAGGGCCCCGGCAGAGGAGGGGGAGGCGAGCCAGAGAGGGCCCCGGCAGAGGAGGGGGAGGCGAGCCAGAGAGGGCCCCGGCAGAGGAGGGGGAGGCGAGCCAGAGAGGGCCCCGGCAGAGGAGGGGGAGGCGAGCCAGAGAGGGCCCCGGCAGAGGAGGGGGAGGCGAGCCAGAGAGGGCCCCGGCAGAGGAGGGGGAGGCGAGCCAGAGAGGGCCCCGGCAGAGGAGGGGGAGGCGAGCCAGAGAGGGCCCCGGCAGAGGAGGGGGAGGCGAGCCAGAGAGGGCCCCGGCAGAGGAGGGGGAGGCGAGCCAGAGAGGGCCCCGGCAGAGGAGGGGGAGGCGAGCCAGAGAGGGCCCCGGCAGAGGAGGGGGAGGCGAGCCAGAGAGGGCCCCGGCAGAGGAGGGGGGGAGGCGAGCCAGAGAGGGCCCCGGAGAGGAGGGGGAGGCGAGCCAGAGAGGGCCCCGGCAGAGGAGGGGGGGGAGGCGAGCGAGAGTGGCCCCGGCAGAGGAGGGAAAGCGAGCGAGAGTGGCCCCGGCAGAGGAGAAAGCGAGCGAGAGTGGCCCCGGCAGAGGAGAAAGCGAGCGAGAGTGGCCCCGGCAGAGGAGAAAGCGAGCGAGAGTGGCCCCGGCAGAGGAGAAAGCGAGCGAGAGTGGCCCCGGCAGAGGAGAAAGCGAGCGAGAGTGGCCCCGGCAGAGGAGAAAGCGAGCGAGAGTGGCCCCGGCAGAGGAGAAAGCGAGCGAGAGTGGCCCCGGCAGAGGAGAAAGCGAGCGAGAGTGGCCCCGGCAGAGGAGGGGAAGCGAGCGAGAGTGGCCCCGGCAGAGGAGAAAGCGAGCGAGAGTGGCCCCGGCAGAGGAGAAAGCGAGCGAGAGTGGCCCCGGCCGAGGAGAAAGCGAGCGAAGGGCCACATACTGTATACCCCACTTTCAGTCCCGGAATTAAACAGATTGGGGAAAGAAAGGAATTTGTGTTTTGGGAGATCTGCATGACAATGAACACGTTGGCTTACTCTACGTGGACTGAAGCAGAACTCCCTCCAAATACCTGACAATGAGCCACATGGCACCTGAAATCTGAAACAAGGCTTGCATTGGGAGTCATCGCCCCATAAACCTATGACAGGTAAAAGGGAGGAGCTTAGGTATACCTATAGGAGGAGAACGGTCAGGTTGGACATCAGGAGGTGGGGTGGTATGAACAGTACAATGCATCTCCCATCTGCTCTGGGATCATATAATAAAGGTGACTCCCAATATATGAATTCTCTAATCGTCCAATCACTGTCCTGTAATGACAGGTCGCTAGGTAACGCTGATCCCTCCTATGACTTACAGTCAGCGTCTCTCTCTTGCGGCCACTGGTGATAAAGGTGAACCCCTGTGTCTCGATAGCGACTCCCGTCCTCTGGATATGCTCCTCGATGTACCTGAACAATGGAAGGACACAGATCAGCATTTCCTCATCACAGACGTGTGTCTACCATGAATCAGACATTTCCAGGGTGGATGATGGCGCCCCCTGTGGTTGTACCTACTCACAGCACACAAGCTGGATCCATCAGATTGCAGACATGAGCTGTAAAAGGATGACATGGAGTTTGATAAAGCTTTGTGTATCATAAACAGTTGTCATGGCCCCTCCCTCTAAGTTTTCCTGACGGAGACTAACATTCCTACCACTAGAGGACGTCACAGTGCCTCATCCCCTAGTAACAGGTGGACTACAAGTCCCAGAACCTCAAATTTCACCTCTCACCAGTTAATGAAGCTGCTCTTCCCGGCAGAATGATTTCCCATCAACATCACCGTGATCTTCTTACGGGGAGGAAGGAAGGTGACACCCAGGTGAGCGGCCAGAGAGATGAGACCTGTACAGAAAGATGGTGTCACCAATGTCAGGCTGTACATTGTATATAGATGGGGGGAGGGGGTCTCACCATTGTCAGGCTGTACATTGTATATAGATGGGGGGGGGGGGTCTCACCATTCTCAGGCTGTACATTGTATATAGATGGGGGGGGGGGGGGGGTCTCACCATTGTCAGGCTGTACATTGTATATAGATGGGGGGGGGGGTCTCACCATTGTCAGGCTGTACACTGTATATAGATGGGGGGGGTCTCACCATTGTCAGACTGTACATTGTATATAGATGGGGGGGGGGGGGGGGGGTCTCACCATTGTCAGGCTGTACATTGTATATAGATGGGGGGGTCTCACTATTGTCAGGCTGTACATTGTATATAGATGGGGGGGGAGGGAGTCTCACCATTGTCAGGCTGTACATTTTATATAGATGGGGGGGAGGGGGGGGTCTCACCATTGTCAGGCTGTACATTGTATATAGATGGGGGGGGGGGGGGGTCTCACCATTGTCAGGCTGTACATTGTATATAGATGGGGGGGGGTCTCACTATTGTCAGGCTGTACATTGTATATAGATGGGAGGGGGTCTCACCATTGTCAGGCTGTACATTGTATATAGATGGGGGGAGGGGGTCTCACCATTGTCAGGCTGTACATTGTATATAGATGGGGGGGGGGTCTCACCATTGTCAGGCTGTACATTGTATATAGATGGGGGGGGGGTGTCTCACCATTGTCAGGCTGTACATTGTATATAGATGGGGGGGTCTCACCATTGTCAGGCTGTACATTGTATATAGATGGGGGGTCTCACCATTGTCAGGCTGTACATTGTATATAGATGGGGGGGTCTCACTATTGTCAGGCTGTACATTGTATATAGATGGGGGGGGTCTCACCATTGTCATGCTGTACATTGTATATAGATGGGGGGGGTCTCACTATTGTCAGGCTGTACATTGTATATAGATGGGGGGGGTCTCACTATTGTCAGGCTGTACATTGTATATAGATGGGGGGGGTCTCACACCATTGTCAGGCTGTACATTGTATATAGATGGGGGGGGGTCTCACCATTGTCAGGCTGTACATTGTATATAGATGGGGGGGTCTCACTATTGTCAGGCTGTACATTGTATATAGATGGGGGGGTCTCACCATTGTCATGCTGTAAATTGTATATAGATGGGGGGGGGTCTCACCATTGTCAGGCTGTACATTGTATATAGATGGGGGGGGTCTCACCATTGTCAGGCTGTACATTGTATATAGATGGAGGGGGTCTCACCATTGTCAGGCTGTACATTGTATATAGATGGGGGGGGGTCTCACCATTGTCATGCTGTACATTGTATATAGATGGGGGGGTCTCACCATTGTCATGCTGTACATTGTATATAGATGGGGGGGGGGGGTCTCACCATTGTCAGGCTGTACATTGTATATAGATGGGGGGGTCTCACTATTGTCAGGCTGTACATTGTATATAGATGGGGGGGGTCTCACTATTGTCAGGCTGTACCCTGTATATAGATAGGGGGAGGGGGTCTCACCATTGTCAGGCTCAGTGTACAGGTTATGGCAGTCTCTCAGGATTCTCTCATTCACGGACACGGCTCCTGACATGGACTCGGCATTGGCAGCCGCTCGAACCTTCACTTTCCCCGACATCTTTCCCGGTGATGGTGGAGGCGCCGCGTTGCCTGCTGGGAGTTGTAGTTTTCCGCACTTTGCTGGAGCCGCAGACCACAGCCACTCAGCACTCAGGCGAACTACACTTCCCGGCACGCCCCTGCGGCGTTCACGTGGCTGACTTAATACGTGTCAGGGTCACATAGGGTTTGTGTACACGAAAGCAGTTCCGCCAATGCCGGAAGTAGAGCAGACGCCATATTTTTTAGGGCAAATATAAAATTATATGATAAAAAAAGGGCGTAACTGGGGCGTATTGGGAATTAAGAGGGCGCTGAATGGGCGCAGAACTGGCGCTAAGTAGGCTTTAAAATTGCGCAGAAACTGGCGCTAATTAGGTGCCGAGATGGTAGTCCGGCCTTATGAAGTAGCACGAACTGTATACCGGAGGTGTGCAGCCAATCACAGAATCTCTAGAAATGGGCGGATCCTATAGTACAGCTTTTGAATGAAAGAACCAAAGGCCCCCGCCTACCGTGTGATGTGATTTGCTGAGCGGGTTGTCACTTACAAACTCCCATCCAGTCAGAGCTCTCCATAAGCCCAGAGCGGTCTTTTCGAATGGGGTTCATTGTGAATGGGCCTGTATGGTGGCCAGCTTGGCCCGGGAACTGACCAATAGACATCATCCATATTTCATTTACAGCCATTCGTCTGCCAGGAAAATGGGATTAAATAAAAGCATGATTCATGGTCCTGAAATTATTACAATCGATATTCATGGTGATATATTGCATGTGTGGTCCAAATGACGTTCACATTCGGGTGTGTGCAGAGAAATAAGGGCGCTCTCATTTATTTTAATTGTATTTATTTTATTATATTTTAATTTTTAAAAACTTTTACATATGTACTTCTAATGTTTAAACTTGTTTTACATTTTATTTAAGTTATTTATCATTTGTATTTAGTATATTACTTTTTTTACATTTTTTTTTTAAAACACTTTATTTTTTATAATTTTGCATTTTTTTTATCATTTTTAAACACTTTTTATTTTTATCTTCTTTATCATTTGTGTTTTTTTTTTATAAACACTATTTCTTATTTTTTTTTTTTTAACATTTGTAGATATTTAATTATTTTATATTTTTTTTAAACATTATTTTATTTTTTTTTACAATTGTATATGGGCAGCACAGTGGCTAAATGGTTAGCAGTACTCGGGTCATTGGTTCGAATCCCAACCATGGCACCACCTGCCTGGAGTTTGTATGTTCTCCCTGTGCCTGCGTGGGTTTCCTCCGGGTATTCCGGTTTCCTCCCACATTCCAAAGAAATGCTGGTAGGTTAATTGGCTCCTGTCTAAATTGTCCCTAGTATGTGTATGTATGAATGTGAGTTTTTAGGTACCTTAGATTGTACGCCCCTTGAGGGTTAGGGACTGATGTGAATGTACAATATATATGTAAAGTGCTGCGTAAATTGATGGCCTTATATAAGTACCTGAAATAAATAAATTTACTATTTTTCATTTTTTTTATCATTTGCATTTTTTTAGATTAAAAAAAAAACACTTTCTATTTTTCTCTCTTTATCATTTTGTATTTTAATTTTCATACACTCATTTTTTACTTGTATATATTTTGTTATATTATTTTTTAAAAACATTCTTTTTTCATCATTTGTATAGTTTTATATTTAAAACATTTTAAGCACTATTTTTTATTATGTGTATTTATTTTGTTACAATTAATTTTTAAACATAATTTGATATTTTTTTTCTTAATTGTATTTATTATTTTTGTAACCTCCTATTTTTTTTTTAATGATTTGTTTTTATTTTATACTGGTACTGGTATGTGGCGTTGATGGGCACTGATATGTGGCGTTGATGGGCACTGGTATGTGGCGTTGATGGGCACTGGTATGTGGCGTTGATGTGCACTGGTATGTGGCGTTGATGGGCACTGATATGTGGCGTTGATGGGCACTGGTATGTGGCGTTGATGAGCACTGGTATGTGGCGTTGATGGGCACTGGTATGTGGCGTTGATGAGCACTGGTATGTGGCGTTGATGGGCACTGGTATGTGGCGTTGATGGGCACTGGTATGTGGCGTTGATGGGCACTGGTATGTGGCGTTGATGAGCACTGGTATGTGGCGTTGATGGGCACTGGTATGTGGCGTTGATGGGCACTGGTATGTGGCGTTGATGGGCACTGATATGTGGCGTTGATGGGCACTGGTATGTGGCGTTGATGAGCACTGGTATGTGGCGTTGATGGGCACTGGTATGTGGCATTGATATGTGGCATTGATGGGCACTGGTATGTGGCATTGATATGTGGCATTGATGAGCACTGGTATGTGGCGTTGATGGGCACTGGTATGTGGCATTGATGGGCAGAACAGGCAGCTGCTCGGGGCCCCAGACAACAAGGGGAGCCCATTGGGATGCTAAAGGCAACAGAGGTGCCCAGTAATGATGACCCGACACCCCAACCTTTTATATTTATTAGTTTATTTTATGAACTATACCGAGTAAAAAAAAAAATGGAGGTCAGCGAGCCAAGTGCAAATTCTGCAGGTTTGGACATTCCAGGTCAGCGGAAGAAAAGAAGACAACTGCAAAATGCATTCTGATGTGCCGAGCGGAAGGCGATCGATTTCAGAGCTGCGTGCGGAAAATCAAGCCTTTCCCTTCCATCCTCCTCTGGTATTCCTCTTCGAATATTATATCTTGAGAGACGGTGAAATGGTTCTTCCAGTCCCCCACTATACCTGAGAGAAGGGAAAGCTGCAATGAGATTTCTCATGAAGATATTTTCTGATAATTTTTTATATTGTCCGAAGAATATATTTTCACCGAGGGCTCGTTGTCATTGGGATGAAAGGGAAGTCATCAGAAATGAAAGCGCTAGGAAACCCAAACGCAAACCTTTATGATGTGGCAGCTTAGATGTAGTGGCTGCACTTTTCATTTTTAGGCTTTCGGTCTTCTATTTTCATCTGGTGATCCAGCCAGTAAGTCTGTTGTTTTTTTAAAAAAACAAGATCTTTTCCAGATGTATCAGTTTACAGCAGTGGTCGTCCAAACTGTGGCCCTGGGGCAGAATGCAGCCCTTTGCTTGCTTTTATCCGGTCCTTGGGTCAATATTCCCCCGCCACTGTCAGCAACAGTGGGGCATAGTTCCTGCCACTGACACTAAAAAACGAAACACTATTCCTCCCACCGACACTGACGATGGGGCATTATTCCTCCCACTGACACCAATGATGGGGCAGTATTCCTCCCACTGACACCAATGATGGGGCAGTATTCCTCCCACTGATACCAATGATGGGGCACTATTCTCCCACTGATACCCAATGATGGGGCATTATTCCTCCACTGACACCAATGATGGCGGCACTATTCCCCCCATAATACCATGATGGGGCACTATTCCCTCCCACTGACACCAATGATGGAGCACTATTCCTCCCACTGACACCAATGATGGGGCACTATTCCTCCCACTGACACCAATGATGGGGCACTATTCCTCCCACTGACACCAATGATGGGGCACTATTCCCCCCATGATGCACAATGATGGGTACTTATTCCTCCCACTGATACCAATGATGGGGCACTATTCCTCCCACTGATACCAATGATGGGGTACTATTTCCTCCCACTGACACCATGATGGGGTACTATTCCTCCCACTGATACCAATGATGGGGCACTATTCCTCCCACTGACACCAATGATGGGGCACTATTCCTCCCACTGACACCAATGATGGGGCACTATTCCTCCCACTGATACCAATGATTGGGGCACTATTCCTCCACTGACACCAATGATGGGACACTATTCCTCCCACTGACACCAATGATGGGGCACTATTCCTCCCACTGACACCAATGATGGACACTTCCTCCCACTGACACCAATGATGGGGTACTATTCCTCCACTGATACCAATGATGGGGCACTATTCCTCCTCACTGACACCAATGATGGGCACTATTCCTCCCACTGACACCAATGATGGGGCACTATTCCTCCACTGACACCATGATGGGGCACTATTCCTCCCACTGACACCAATGATGGGGCACTATTCCTCCCACTGACACCAATGATGGGGCACTATTCTCCCACTGACACCAATGATGGGGCAGTATTCCTCCCCACTGACACCAATGATGGGGCACTATTCCTCCCACTGACACCAATGATGGGGCACTATTCCTCTGACACCAATGATGGGGGCACTATTCCTCCCACTGACAACTGATGGGGCACAATATTCCTCCCACTGACATCAATGATGGGGACTATTCCTGTCCCACTGACACCAATGATGGGGCACTATTCCTCCCACTGATCACCAATGATGGGGCACTATTCCTCCCATGACTACCAAATGATGGGGCACTATTCCTCCACTGACACCAATGATGGGACGCACTATTCTCCCACTGACACCAATGATGGGGCACTATTCCTCCACTGACACCAATGATGGGGCACACTATTCCACTGATCCCACTGACATGACCAATGATGGGGCACTATTCCTCCCACTGAGACCAATGATGGGAGCAATTTCCACTGACACCAATGATGGGGGCACTATTCCTCCACTGACACCAATGATGGGGCACTATTCCTCCCACTGACACCAATGATGGGGCACTATTCTCCCACTGACACCAATGATGGGGCACTATTCCTCCCACTGACACCAATGATGGGGCACTATTCCTCCACTGACACCAATGATGGGGCACTATTCCTCCCACTGACACCAATGATGGGGGCACTATTCCTCCACTGACACCAATGATGGGGCACTATTCCTCCCCCATGACACCAATGATGGGGCACTATTCCTCCACTTGACACCAATGATGGGGCACTATTCCCCCCACTGACACCCAATGATGGGGCACTATTCCTCCCCACTGACACCAATGATGGGGCACTATTCCTCCCATGACACCAATGATGGGGCACTATTCCTCCCACTGACACCAATGATGGGGCACTATTTCTCTCACTGACACCAACTGATGGGGCACTATTCCTCCCACTGACACCAATGATGGGGCACTATTCCTCCCCACTGACACCAATGATGGGGGCACTATTCCTCCCACTGACACCAATGATGGGGCACTATCCTCCCACTGACACCATGATGGGGCACTATTCCTCCCACTGACACCAATGATGGGGCACTATTCCTCCCACTGACACCAATGATGGGGGCACTATTCCTCCCACTGACACCAATGATGGGGCACTTTTCCTCCCACTGACACCAATGATGGGGGCACTATTCCTCCCACTGACACCAATGATGGGGGCACTATTCCTCCCACTGACACCAATGATGGGGCACTATTCCTCCCATGACACCAATGATGGGGCACTATTCCTCCACTGACACCCCACAATGGGGGCAACTATTCCCCCACTGACACCAATGATGGGGCACTATTCCTCCCACTGACACCAATGATGGGGCACTATTCCTCCCACTGCACATGATTGGGGCACTATTCCTCCCATGACACCCATGATGGGGCACTATTCCTCCACTGACACCCAAATGATGGGCATCTCCACTGACTGACACCAATGATGGGGCACTATTCCTCCCACACTGACACCAATGATGGGGCACTATTCCTCCCACTGGACCCCAATGATGGGGTATTCCTCCCTGACACCAATGATGGGGCACTATTCCTCCCACTGACACCAATGATGGGGCACTATTCCTCCCACTGACACCAATGATGGGGCACTATTCCCCCCAACTGACACCAATGAATGGGGCACTATTCCTCCCAACTGACACCAATGATGGGGCACTATTCCTCCCCTTACTGACACCAATGATGGGGCGCACTACCTACTGACACAATGATGGGGCACTATTCCTCCCACTGACACCAATGATGGGGCACTATTCTCCAACTGACACCAATGATGGGGCACTATTCCTCCCACTGACACCAATGATGGGGCACTCATATTCCTCCCACTGACACCAATGATGGGGCACTATTCCTTCCCACTGACACCAATGATGGGGCACTATTCTCCCCACTGACACCATGATGGGGGCACTATTCCTCCCAACTGACACCAATGATGGGGCACTATTCCTCCCACTGACACCAATGATGGGGCACTATTCCTCCCACTGACACCAATGATGGGGCACTATTCCTCCCCTGACACCAATGATGGGGCACTTTTCCTCCACTGACACAATGATGGGGCACTATTCCTCCCACTGACACCAATGATGGGGGCTACTATTCTCCCTCACTGACCACCAATGATGGGGCACTATTCCTCCCACTGATACCAATGATTGGGCACTATATCTCCCACTGACACCAATGATGGGGCACTATTCCTCCCACTGACACCAATGATGGGGCACTATTCCTCCAATGACACCAATGATGGGGCACTATTCCTCCACTGACACCAATGATGGGGCACCTATTCCTCCACTGACACCAATGATGGAGGCACTATCCTCCCTACTGACACCAATGATGGGGCACTATTCCTCCCATGACACCAATGATGGGGCACTATTCCTCCCACTGACACACCAATGATGGGGCACTATTCCTCCCACTGACACCAATGATGGGGCACTATTCCTCCACTGACACAATGATGGGGCACTATTCCTCCCCAACTGACACCAATGATGGGGCACTATTCTCCACTGACACCAATGATGGGGCACTATTCCTCCCACTGATCCAATGATGGGGCACTATTCCCCCACTGACACCAATGATGGGGCACTATTACTCCCCTGACTACAATGATGGGGCACTATTCCTCCCACTGACCACAATGATGGGGCACTATTCCTCCACTGATACCAATGATGGGGCACTATTCTCCCACTGACACCAATGATGGGGCACTATTCCTCCCACTGACACCAATGATGGGGCACTATTCCTCCCACTGATACCAATGATGGGGCACTATTCTCCCACTGACACCAATGATGGGGCACTATTTCCTCCACACTGATACATCCATGATGGGGCACTATTCCTCCCACTGATACCAATGATGGTGGCACTATTCCTCCCACTGACACCAATGATGATGGGGCACTATTCCTCCCACTAATACACTGATGGGGCACTATTCTCCTACTGAACACAAATGATGGGGCACTATTCCTCCCACTGACACCAATGATGGGGCACTATTCCTCCCACTGACACCAATGATGGGGCACTATTCCTCCCATGATACCAATGAATGGGGGCACTATTCCTCCTCCAAACATGATACCAATGATGGGGCACTATTCCTCCCACTGACACCAATGATGGGGCACTATTCCTCATGACACCACTGATTGGGGCCACTATTCCTCCCACTGACACCAATGATGGGCGGCACTATTCCTCCCAATGATACCAATGATGGGGCACTATTCCTCCCACTGACAACCAATGATGGGGCACTATTCCTCCCACTGAATACCAATGATGGCACTATTCCTCCAATGACACAAATGATGGGGCACTATTCCTCCCACTGACACCAATGATGGGGCACTATTCCCCACTGATACCAATGATGGGGCACTATTCCTCCCACTGAACCAATGATGGGGCACTATTCCTCCCACTGACACCAATGATGGGGCACTATTCCTCCCACTGACACCAATGATTGGGGCACTCTATTCCTCCCACTGACACCAATGATGGGGCACATATTCCTCCCACTTGACACAATGATGGGGGCACTATTCCTCCCACTGACACCAATGATGGGGCACTTTCCTCCCACTGATACCAATGATGGGGCACTATTCCTCCCACTGACACCAATGATGGGGCACTATTCCTCCCACTGACACCAATGATGGGGGCACTATTCCTCCCACTGACACCATGATGGGGCACTATTCCTCCCACTGACACCAATGATGGGGCACTATTCCTCCACTGATCCAATGATGGGGCACTATTCCTCCCACTGATGATGGGGCACTATTCCTCCCACTGAATACACCATGATGGGGCACTATTCCTCCATGACACCAATGATGGGGGCACTATTCTTTCCACTGACACCAATGATGGGACACTATTTCCACTGACCCCAATGATGGAGCCTATTCCTCCCACTGGACACCATGATGGGTTGCACTATTCCTCCCACTGACACCAATGATGGGGGCACTATTCCTCCCACTGACACCAATTGAATGGGGCACTATTCCTCCCACTGATACACCAATGATGGGGCACTATTCCTCCCATCTGATACCAATGATTCACTATTTTCCCTGACACCAATGATGGGGCACTATTCTCCTCAACTGACTCAATGATGGGGCACTATTCCTCCCACTGATACCAATGATGGGACACTATTCCTCCCACTGACACCACATGCTGGGCGCACTATTCCTCCAGATGACACCAAATGATGGAGCACTATTCCTCCACTGACACCAATGATGGAGCACTATTCTCCCTACATGACACAAATGATGGGGCCAGGCACTAATTCCTCCACTGACACCAATGATGGGGCACTATTCTCAGATACCAATGATGGCGGCACTATTTCCTGCATCGATATCCAATGATGGAGACCTATTCTCCACTGACACCAATGATGGGGCTATTCCTCCCACTGATTCCAATGATGGGGCACCTATTCCTCCACTGACACCCCAATGATGGGGGGGGATATTCCTCACACCGTAGGTGTGTATATTTATATATATCTATTATTGAATTAATATTCAAATATGGCCAAAATTAGTAGTATTTCAAATATATTTTTCTTCCATTATGGGTACAGCATAGAGGCAGGGTCTTCTTTTTAGTGCTCCCTCACTGCTCCACTCCTTCGTCCCAACCCGCCCAATACTCGGTGCTTCTGCATACGGGGGAAGACATGTAACCTCCTCCAGTGGTGAGGCGCTTAGGTCTAACAACAATTAACAGGCCCAAACAACTGTCACATGATGAAGGGGGTGATGTCATCACTCTCTGTACATTCCAACACTGGGTATTTCTGCAGCAGCTGCAATGGAGGGAGCACTGTTGAAGGTAGGGTTGGTGGTGGTTGGAGGGTTGGATTTGACACTTTGTTCTGAGTGGGAAGGTGACAGGGTTTCTCTTTAAAGTAAATCTGTGAGCTGCCATTGTTTTCCTCCTTCCAAAGAACGTAACATGCCAGGTGCTATACTCCTATGTAACCACAGACGTACTTTCTCAGTCACAGACCCGGGAAATAAAAACGTGCAGCTCAAGAAAGTCAAAGGCCCTTACCTACACACATAATCAAGTCAGTAGCTCAGAGCATTGAAGCCAGAGGATGAGAATGACAACCAGGCACTTAGCACTTTTAGAAGGAGGACAGCATCCCATGACAGGTTTTCTTGATAGACCAACTCCTCCAAAAAAAATTTATGTCAATTTGAATGGGCACAACTCGGCTCTGTCATTGGCTGACATCTTAACATTGACCATTCCTTTCTATGAGCACGTCAACGTCAACATTCACCCCATTGGGATGTTTTCCAACACTGCCTTTCCCTAAAGCTCTACAAAACAAGCCGACTTAACAGACTGGTATACATATGTATACTTCTATTCCAAAGTCAAGAGGCAATCTTTACCTCTAAACCCTCCCCCGTCCGTTGACCTATGCAGAGAGCATGGGCACACAACCATGGCAGGAAGGCCAGAGGCGTCTTAGATGTGCGGGTTGTGACTAAGATTATTATTACGTGTTTACAGTTAGGAATGAACCTTTTCTCATGAAGGGCGAGATGGACTGATCCATGACAAATGATGGGATGGTGCTGTAATTGGCCATTGGATTCTCCTTCATAGCCTGGAAGGTTGTGTGCTGATATATCTTCTCCCAGGACTTCTTCAGAAAGATCCTTTTCCAGGAACCTCATGACTTTACAGATCTCACGCCTTGGATCCTGTTGAAGCAATGAATGATAGTTTATTGAGAAGACATTTGGCTTTCCACTTGCTAGGCAACTACTCACCTCAATCATGTCCTCATAGAAGATGTAAAGCACCTGGTGGTGATTTTTGGCGTTCCACCATCCGAGTACATTGTCAAACCAACTTCCCCAAGGCACTGTTGGAAAAAGATGTATAAGTAACGCCATTTAGCATATCTCGCTATGGGCATAGATACTGGAAAATAAGGGATGGGTACTGGGGGTGGAAAAAAGGAGAAATGTCAGTGTGTGTTTTTGGGGTTGGTTCCTCACAACATGAATATGCTCTGTTCAGCTAAACTTGTCAGTGGACACATAATCCCCAGTGAGAACTGAAATTGACTATCCTTCTTTAATACTATAAATATTATGAAAGTGCTGCACCTTGTCACGTCATTGAGTTGGTGGCACCCAGAGTTCTGACTTATGCAGGCTGAGGGGCTCCAGGATGCTTGTCTTTTATGGAGGAGATGATATTGTCAGTTTTCTCCAGGATTAGTAAGTCCTGGGTTGGGTCCTGAAGCTTGGTGGCTTTATAGAGTATTGGGTGGAATGAAGCCTTCAGCCCTGGGTCCACATTACTAGCAACCTGCATCCTGATTGTGCAAGGGTGAACAGCTCTCTTGGTATGCTTAGAGTGCCAACTATGGTTCAAGGCTTCTCCCTGGCGTCAGAAGTCAGGGTCTGGGGCATGCTTGTGAGCACACTGTTTTATGAGACTGTCTGGAGGATCAGGCAAGGATCTGAAGTGTGAGGCCAGTACAGCAATGTTGTAAGTGAAAGCCAGGAAAGCTGGTGAAGTATTGTTTTTTCTTATGGGTTCCATGGACCTATAAGGCTCCGCCAGAGGTTGCTAGGGATTCCTTAGGCTGTGGCTGACTGAACTCCCATCAGATGCTTCCCAACTGATGGTGCCTGCATAATTATGGGTCCGACACCACTTGGCAGATTCAGCAGCATTACATCATCAATGATCTATTTCACTGTCTGTAAAGGTGGCATTCTGACTTCTGCAGTACGGGGGCATTCTTTCTATTTACCAGCAATGTAAGGGGCATTCTTCCCTCTGACTACCAATGGAGGGAACATTTTTTTGCCACTGGCCACCAATTGGAGGGGACATTCTTCTAACTGATTACCAATGGTAAAGGTATTCTTCCAACTGACCACCAATATAAGGGGCATTCTTCCCTCTGACCACTAATGGAGGGGACATCTATCCAGCTGATCATCAATGGAAGGGGCAGTCTTCCCACTGACTACCAATAGAACGGGCATTTTTCCTCTCTGACCACCAATGGAGGGAACATTTTTCCCACTGGCCACCAATGGATGGGACATTCTTCCCAATTGATCACCAATGTAAAAGGCATTATTCCAACTGACCACCAATGTAAGGGGCATTTTCTTCCCACTGACCGCCGATAGAGGGGACATCTGTCCCAATGATCATCAATGGAAGGGGCATTCTTCCCACTGACTACCAATAGAAGGAGCATTTTTCCCACTGGCCACCAATGGAGGGGACATTCTTCCAACTGATCATCAATGTAAAAGGCATTCTTCCAACTGACCACCAATGTAAGGGGCATTCTTTCCACTGACACCAATGTAAGGGACATTCTTCCTACTGACTACCAATAGGAGGCTCATTCCACCCACTGACGACCAATGTAAGGAGCATTCTTCCCACTGACAACCAATGGAAGGGGCATTCTTCCCACTGACCCTTGAATAATTATAGCAGGTGTTCCATAACTATTTTATGGATTCTCCTGGGGAAAAAGATTGAGTAAGTGTCTAGACCTGCAATCCACCTTGCTTCTCTGCCCTGTAATTGTAATTCTCTACTTCCTCTTCTGGAAGATCAGAAGACCTCACCAATCATCATAAACCTCAATTTACAGACAGAATGATTATGGTAAGTGCCTTGACAAGGGTAATCCCAATTGTGGAGCACAGAGAACATATATTTGTGTCGCTAGCCTGCCTTCGTTTTTTTATGTAGTCTTGCCAAGCCTGTCTTTATTTGTGGAGCCATGTTTGTACCTTGGTTGTTCACTGATCCAAGTGACACCGATTCGTGGTTGTTTCATTATTTATCTTTGCGTGTTGGACCATTGTGTCAGTGTTTGTTTTACATGAAGATGGATTTGTAGTTGATTCAAAACGGTTGATGATGTATGCAGAAGCTTTGCTCTAAACCATTTCACAAGGTGCTGCAGATTAGCATTGTGCGGTGTGTTTGTAGGCCGGTGCCTACAAGGGGGATGTTGTGTGTAACTATGTTAGTTAGTTTGCCCAGGCTGGGAAGGGTTAACCTTTGGATGCCGGGTTCCCGGGCCTTTTGGGTCCAGCTTCCTTTCCCTATATATAAACAGGGGAAAGGCCGGGCTCGTTGGGAGGGCGGGGGAAGCTTACGCATGGGATTTGAAAGAAAGAGCTGCTGCGTAATGCAGTCCTACAAGATAGCAGAGTTCTTGGAGGAATCTGCCAGTTTGGAAGATGCCATTTATGGACTAACACCTTGTTATACTACCAGGGGCGGACTGACCATTTGGAAACTCAAGCACTGCCCGAGGGTCCGGAGTCAGTAGGGGGCCCCATGAGATGCCCCTGGTACCTTTTTCATAGGCTTTTTTTTAGTTTGGGCAAGGACATAGGGGCCCCATGATCCCCTATTGCCCGGGGGCCCCATAAGTTGTCAGTCCACCCCTGTATACTAGTAATGGCAGTGATCAGCGACTTATAGTGGAACTGTGGCGGGCATTCTGACACCTGGGGGGGGGGCTGGTTAACTGCCACTGACATCCCCAGTGACACCAATACAGTGATCAGTGCTAATAAAAAACACTGACACTGTACTAATGGCACTTGGCAGGAAGAGGTTAACATCTGGGGCCATCAAAGGGTTAACTGTGTGCTGTTTTGCATTGTTCGCTGTGTGTGTTTTACTAGAGAAACTTGCTGCTGTGTATTTCTCTGCTGTGCAGAGAAATACAAAGCAGCATGTCCTTGTTGGCAGGAGAGAGACCTGTGTTAACTGACTGCTGTTTTACTATGTGGGCTGTGTGTGTTTTACATTGTAAGCATGCTAATTTGTATGGCTCTGCTATGCAGAACCATACAAAGCAGCATGCTGGAGCTGACAGGGGAGAGATCTGTGCTGTTTATATACAGACCTCTCTCCCCTCAGTCTTCCTCGGCAATCGGTGGGCGCGGTCAGGGAATCTCCATTCGGAACCCGGTGATCGACAGCTGAAGAATATGGATATCATTTAATGTCCAATCAAACCTTCTGTTTCATTTACTCACCATTTCCCGACAGGAACTTTGAGAAGTAAGCCTCCCAGTTTCCAGGGTCCGAGAGACCCTTGTTCATCCTCTGGAAGTGGAAGTATGAGACCATGCTATCCTTGGCGTTCCTAGCAATGTATATAACCTGTGCAGAAGGTGAGAGGAAGGTGAAGAATTATTGAGCAGATCATTTCTGCGAATGCTGAGCTTTTGTCTTCTCAGGCTTCCCATTCTTAGCTTTGTGTAAGCAACCATCCAGAGATTCCCATATGGAAGAAAAATATATTTTAAACATTTTCTTCCCAAATATATTGACATATATTTGAAATGCTACAATTTTGGCCATATTGAAATGCATTTTTATTACAAAATATATGAAAAATATATTTTTAAATACATTTTAAATATACTGTATGTCTTTAAAAATACAAAATCTACATTTTTGGAATGCATTTACAAATCTATGCAAAAATATATGTTAAAATGACTTTTTTATATGTTAAAAAGAATCTGAAGAATATATTTAAAAAATATATATATATTTTAAAAATTTATTTTTTTTAAATACCGTACATTCTTCAGATTTTTTTAACATATAAAAAAAATTCATTTTAACATATATTTTTGCATATATTTGTAAATGCATTCCAGAAATGTAGATTTGTATATTTAAAAGACATACAGTATATTTGAAATGTATTTTTAAAAATATTTTTCATATATTTTGTAATAAAAACGCATTTCAACATGCAGTATGTATGTGTATATATATATATATATATATATGTGTGTGTGTATATGTATGTGTGTGTGTATATATATGTGTGTGTGTGTGTATATAATATATATATTTGTGTGTATGTGTGTATATATATATATATATATATATATATATATATATATACACGTGTGTGTGTGTGTGAGCAACCATCCAGATATTCTTATATGGAAGAAATTTTTTTTTTTTTTTTAACTATATTGAATACGGCCAAAATTGTAGCATTTCAAATATATGTCAATATATTTCAGAAGAATATTTTTAAAAGATATTTCAAATATATTTTTCTTCTATATGGGACTCACAGGAGATGTGTCTGGCTGATATTGGATAGAAGCATCCAAGTATCCAGGGACATTGTGAGTACAGGCCTGAGTGTAGGATCCTAGTGACTGCACCAGGGGCGGACCGACCATTTGGAAACTCGGGTACTGCCCGAAGGCCCGGGGTCAGTATGGGGCCCCATGAGATGCCCCTGGTACCTTTCATAGGCTATTTTGGGTGTGGTTTGAGTTTGGGCAAGGACACAGGGGCCCCATGATCCCCTATTGCCCGGGGGCCCTATAAGTTGTCAGTCCGCCCCTGGACTGCTCGCTACTACTATCGCTTTATTAATTCCAGTGTTTGCTTTGCTAGGGACATTCCCCCTTTTGGGGTTGCTTACTCCCCTAGCATCTGCTAAAGGAAACTATCCTAAGACGTTAGACACAAAGAAAAAAAGTGTCCTCTGATTACCCACATGGAAGAAAAATATATTTTAAAAATACATTCTTAATATATTCTTCCCAAATATATTGACATATATTTCAAATACTACAATTTTGGCCGCATTCAATATATTTGTGAATATGTTATTAAAAATTTATTCAGAAAACATGCTGAAATATATTTCAAAGTGTAATTTGGAATGCATTTACAAGTATATTTAAAAATCTCTGTTTAAATAATTTTTTTTAGATGTTCAAAAATAGCTGGAAAATAGATTTTAAAAAATATATTTTTAAATATATGCCTTTTGGAAAATATATATTAATTTACATTTTTGGAATACATGTTAAAATATATTCGTGTAGGCTAATATATTGTAAATATATGTCGCTTGTATAATTTTTTTTTCTAAATATATTGGAAATATATTTTTCTTCCATATGGGAACTGCATTGTATTCTGGAGTATCCCAAGGCTCCCTCACCCCAAGTTCAACTAGTAATAAAGGATCAAAAGACACCCTAAGGCTGACCAACGAGCCATGAGATGGTCTGTGCCTCCGTGTGCCTGGTTGTCCTACACCGATTATTCTCATGACTTTTCTCACCTTACAGTCCTGATCCCAGAATGATGGAGGAAGAAGCTGAACAGGGAGGTGAGTCTTTAAAATCCGTGGTGGCTTCATGCTTTTTGCTAGCTGCAGCCCTTAAACATAAAGAAATCGAAAGAAACTTTTATACCATGGTTTGTTTGTTTTTTAAGCTTTCTCAAAGAAAAACTCACCTGACGGAACAGGTTTTGGGGCTACTACCTCAATGAAGGGGTGTCTGTCGTAAGTTGATGCTCTACGGCACCTCTCTGCATCACCATCCATGAATATCATATCCACAATCTCCTGCAGCCAGGTGATACCTAGAATTCAATGGTACAAAAACAAGAGTTTGTGGTGCAATTAAAAAAAAAAAAAAATATTAAAGTGGACTTAGTGCCAAAAATATTTTTTGGGTTGTTAATTGCATGCTAGGTCATTTTTAAATGCAGCACCCAGGGGTCTATATTTAAAATAAACTTGCTCTACTAATCTCCTAGCATTTACAGCCATCATAAATAATCCCTGTAATGTGTCTAATGTGTTCATTTCCTATCATTTTCAGCTCCATCTAGTGGCCATAATGCAGTATTTTCCTGATTGAGGTATTTCAGGAAAATACTGCATTATAGCCACTAGATGGAGCTGAGATAACAGGAAATAAAAATATTAGACACATTACAGGGATTATTTGCGTCAATAGTGTGAATGCTGTGATATTCATATAGCTCATTTTTTATAAACTGCCAGAGAATCACCCCACCCATACAAACAGTACATCCCACCCTCCTCTAGCTAATCACCAGGTAAGTGAAATAAAACAAACTAAATAATAATAATAAAAAAAAAAACTTAAACACTCAAATAGTTACCCATGTTCATAATCACATGACATATCAGGGGTTGATTTCCTACAACTGGAGGGTGTGAAATCTGGTGCAGCTCTGCACAGAAACCAATCAGTTTCCAGGATTTATTGTCAAAGCTTAACTGAACGAGCTCAAGTTAGAAGCTGATTGGCTCCCAGGCACAGCTGCACCAGATTCTGAGTGCACTGGTTTTAGTAAATCAACACCATTGGGTTCTGTGTCTTCTCTCTTTGGTTTTTCGGGTGCCTAAAGGCACTACCCACTGTGCTGGCAGGGTTCTGAATACCCCAGTGGTGGCATGGTGGTTCCACCATTAGAGGTGGCAACAAGACAAGTTGACAGCAGACCCAGACTGCAGTGGTGGATCAACAACATACATTTCAAGGAAAGGCCCCATATAGGGTCACATGATGGCACATTCAGGTAAGTTAAAAGGGGCTTCAGATGGGTTTGATTTAAAACAGGGTTGGCTGAGAGTAGGTTGGTTGGGGGGGAAGATGAATGGGGTTCCAGTTTGACCCAAAGTTTGACTTTAAAGGTATTTCATAATTTTCACAGGCAATGCTTTTATCTGTTCTTCTTTCCCGAAAGGTGAAAACACCTTTGTACCACCATCCAGGGTCACCATCTACTTCCTAGACTGAGATGTCCACTCAGAGATGATACAATCATGTAAATCAGGTATCGCTAAATGGCTACTCCGGACCGAGTCACTGTCCCATCTGGACCACCATGGTTGTACCATTTAGCAGCTGGTTCTTTCCCTGAGCCTCCACCATTTTCCTTCTCACAGCAGAGTGGAGATGGGGAGGTACAGTAGCACTGGATGGGGGGCGGGAGCTGCCCAAGTTAACGTTCATTGGCAGGTGATTGGTTGCTAGGATGTACGTTGGTCCTAGCCACCAATCGCCAGGTTGGTAATATAATTAATTAACTCTGGCAGTTCCCACTCCTGCCCTTTGTCCAGTGCTTCTGTGCCTCCCAAGCAAGTGCATTCTTGGCAGGGTCAAGGGGAGATTTTTTAAATCTGCAGACTTCCAATATCAGACCAACATATTGAAGCTTAGTAGATATTTTAGTGATTGGGTTTATATCAACTTTTATGTTTGAACAGCCTTCATATTCTGTTTTCTGTTTGAAAACATTTGGGTCATTGGATTTCCCTTCACCAGAATTTTTTTTTCAAAGAAATTATTCCTCTTTAAAGTTAAAAAGACATACCTGCTTTTGGGTAGGCGGCCACCAGGATGTCCTCTGGATGCGCTTGGAAATTCAAAATATCGCTCCATGTGTCACACGTTCCTTGGACCAGCGGAACCCCTGAGATGGAGCCAAGCAAAGGTCTCTGCAAGACGTAACCCTCAAAGTGTTCTGCGTTTTGCTGAAAAGCCATGACGATGGAGTGAAGAGAAGGACAGAAGGAGCTGACTGCGAGGAAGGCAGAGGTGGTGAAAAATCCTGATAGATGACTGATGCAAAGAAAAGACACGTAGAGCTTAATATGGCACCAGGGGAGTAGGCTTTTTTCCGAGGGCTCTTGATTTGGTTTCTATGGTGAAACTCCAAACCTAAATAATAAGAAATTCCTCCACGTGTTCCTCTTCATCTTGCCTGTGTACAACTCCTGATGCTTAAGCCTGCAACACATGCCAATCTGTTGCCTTCCAATCTAAGATAAGTTTGGGGCTGGCTGGTGGTTCATTGTTTATATTGGATTTTGTGGGGTTTTTTTGACAAAGCAGGGCAAATAGCATGTGATGTGAGAAGCTGCCATTGCCTATTGTAACACATCAGAGTTTTGGCTTTCGGTAAAGAAGAGAAACAGAAGTGTTTTCTCTTTTGCCCCGGGTTACTAGTATTTGTCATATAAAAAAAAAATACCTGAGCAATTGAAGCTTTTAGTAACTCACTGAAGATTTACCTTCTGTGTCCGTGTTGTTGCAGGAACATACTGTATGTCCACACCTGTTATGGCACTTGGGCCTTTACATAGAGCAGCGCTCCTCAACCAGGCTTCCCCAGCAGCAAGGAGGGAGGTCCTGATTCCTCCATATAGATCTTTATCTCTCTAAAATGAACACCAGCAGGAGGAAGAAGGTCCTGGTTCCTCTATATAGATCTTTATCTCACTAGAGGGGTCACCAGCAGGAGGAAGGAGGTCCTGATTCCTCTATATAGATCTTTATATAACTAGAGGGGTCACCAGCAGGAGGAAGGAGGTCCTGATTCCTCTATATAGATCTTTATATCACTAGAGGGGTCACCAGCAGGAGGAAGGAGGTCCTGATTCCTCTATATAGATCTTTATATCACTAGAGGGACCACAAGCAAGAAGAAGGAGGTCCTGATTCCTCTATATAGATCTATAGATCTTATATCACTAGAGGGGGCACCAGCAGGAGGAAGGAGGTCCTGATTCCTCTATATAGATCTTTATATCACTAGAGGGGTCACCAGCAGGAGGAAGGAGGTCCTGATTCCTCTATATAGATCTTTATATAACTAGAGGGGTCACCAGCAGGAGGAAGGAGGTCCTGATTCCTCTATATAGATCTTTATATAACTAGAGGGGTCACCAGCAGGAGGAAGGAGGTCCTGATTCCTCTATATAGATCTTTATATCACTAGAGGGACCACAAGCAAGAAGAAGGAGGTCCTGATTCCTCTATATAGATCTTTATATCACTAGAGGGGGCACCAGCAGGAGGAAGGAGGTCCTAATTCCTCTATATAGATCTTTATATCACTAGAGGGGGCACCAGCAGGAGGAAGGAGGTCCCGATTCCTCTATATAGATCACTAGAGGGGTCACCGGCAGGAGGAAGGAGGTCCTGATTCCTCTATATAGATATTTATAGCACTAGAGGGGTCACCAGCAGGAGGAAGGAGGTCCTGATTCCTCTATATCGATCCTTATATCACTAGAGGGGTCACCGGCAGGAGGAAGAAGGTCCTGATTCCTCTATATAGATCCTTATATCACTAGAGGGGGTCACCAGCAGGAGGAAGGAGGTCCTGATTCCTCTATACTGATCTTTAGTTAGACCTCTTTTAGAAAATTGTGTCCAGTTCTGAAGATTTCATTTACAAAAAGATGTTGATATGATAGATCCAGTCCAGAGATGGGTAACAAAAATGGTGAAAGGGATAGAACATATCAAGATATTCAATATGAAGCTAAGTTCAAGAACATGGGGACATGACCTCAAACTAGCAAGAATTTCATGAACCATCAAAAGTGTTACTTCACTTAGTTTGACATTTTTGGGTTTAAGAATATTTGTTCAACTTTCTAACAGTTAAGGGGGAAAGATTGACGTTTATTTTTGACCTCAGGGAGGATGTCGAACAATAAAAAAAAATTTAAAAAATGAAAGTTTTAATAAATTAAAAAAAAAAATATATATATATATATATATATATATACACACACACGTACGTACACTTCTAACTTCATCTTGTTCAATGAAGCTTTGACAATAAATCCTGGAAGCTGATTGGTTCCTATACGGAGCTGCTCCAGATTTTGCACTCTCCAGTTTTAGTAAATGGCCCCCATTGGATAGATGTACACATTATAATTATTACATCTAATGCCGGCCATACATGGTTTGAATTCCGGACGATTTTCGTATGAAAATCGGACCTGAGAATAATCGGTCGATTTTTTGCTCTGTTAGTGGGGCAATGGCATCGGCCGATTTTCATGGTTCCTCCCCATTTCTTTTATCGGGCATGCTGGAAAATTTGTGAAAAACAACCGATTTTCGAAATCATTGATGGCACCATTGGATTACAGAACGAATGACGAAAAACCATTTGGAATTCGAACCATGTATGGCCTGCATAAGTCTAGGATTGTCCCACTTTTCCTGTCCAGGTGATAATGTTCTCTCTAACCCTAGACTTACACTTACGCGTTTTCAGCAGCGTTTTGTGTTCTGTAGAAACACACTGCAGGCCATTTAACATGGTTTCCTATGGGACATATTTTCATCTCCGCGTTTTCACCCGGTGCGTTTTTTGGAAAGGGTCAGGGACTTTTCTGAATGCAAAAAAGTTGTGTTTTTTGGTTCTATAGACTTCAATAAAAGTGCTGCAGAAATGCAGGTAGTGAATTTTAGCTGCGTTTTTTGTGTTTTTGCTGCTTTTTTTTATGTGTTTTGCATTTTAAATCTGCCTAGCAACAAGTAAAAAAAACAACCACAAAAAAAAACGCTAAACGCAACGCAAAATGCAATGCAGAAACGGGTCGAACACAAACTGCATAGGTGTGAACCTAGCCCTAGACAAAGAGCATAAAATGTGGGCAGCACAGTGGATAAATGATTAGCACTTCCGCCTGGCAGTACTCGGGTCGTCGGTTCAAATCCCAACCACGGTACCACCTGCCTGGAGTTTGCATGTTCTCCCTGCGCCTGTGTG